TTTCATTATTTTTTTATTATTTTATTATTTAAATATTAAAAATTTTTAATTTTTCATTTTAATAGCCTTAAAATTTGAATTCTTGTTTGTCCCTCTTTGAGAAAGTCAATTCTAAACCTCCTCCAAAATTTTTCTTAAAATCTAGAGGAAATCTCATCAATCTCTCTCATTTCGAACCTCCAAAACACCTTCTTTATCCATCCATAACCACCGAAGTAGCCTAAAACCCTGGTCAAAGCTTCCAACTTATTACAAACCTCTAACTTTTGTGAAAACCTTGAAAAATCTAATCTGTCATAGTCTGTCAATAAGCATACCCTACTATCACTCACCACATCACCTTGCCTTGTCACCTAAATCCACATCACTAGGCATATCATCCAACCACATCATCTCAGCTATATCACCTTTCCAAATCCAACCAAAACCGTATCTATGGTCAAAGTCCAACCAAAACTCTGTCCAAAAAGTCCAATCAAATCAAAACTCTACTCAAAGAGTCTTAATCCAATCAAAACTCAACCTTAAAAGCTACCTGTTTTACCAAAACACTCTAAAAGGTCCCGACACCCAAATTTTGTTCGAAGAGTACATGTCAGACTAAAATTCTTTCAAAGGGCTAAGATTCTTTCAAAAGGCTTAATCTACCTCAAGCTCGATCTTAACCCATAAAGTTATAGTCAAGATGAAACACAGCTACACTAAACCCAACTCACAACCCCAGACCTATAGTTGTCCTATTGGATCTTGTATTAGGACAATCTTCTCAGGTATAATTCTTAAAATCTTTAGACATCTTAGACCTCTTATTAAATTACGTGCAAGTGACATCCTCCATGACCAAATATCATCTAGTCTTAGGCACACATAACGTAAAACATTTAGTTATAATTAGGACTTATTTTCTAGTTAAAGACAGTGAAAATTTTTGCAATGGAAACTCATGTCTAGCATGTGATGTAAAATCTTGTCACATAGATTAGAAATAAAACGATATGTTCTAAATATGCCCTTGAGGCATCTTATTGAACTATCATCTAAGTATGTCATTTATAAAAGATCACATTACATGTTTCTTTGGTTAGTCTTTATTGTCTTTGCAATAGAACGGAATGAACTACTTGATTTTAATACAATTGTTTGACAACACATTGTTTGCATCATTTAATGATTGATAAAAAACTCAAGGTTGTCATCCTACAAGTATTTTTCTAGATGCATACGTGACAACACGAAACATATAAATAGTTTATACAAATTGCTTGTCATCAAGAATAAAAGGAAAGGCATGCTCTTTAATCCATAAGCAAGTCAAGATGTTGGTTTGACATGGATAAGTAAAGGCTAGGCTTATCTCTAACAAGGTTTAGAGCATTGATTCCTCTAATATCTTGTTTACTATTTTTGAATTAAATTTTTTGATTAAAATGATTGTTACCTTGAAATCAGTATTGATTCCTAAAATATAAATAAATTGATTGACAATTCATAATCAAATCTTAGTTCTCAACATTGAAAAGAGGTGAAACCCGCATCGCTCACATCTTTGTTTAAAAGAGCATTTAAAATAAAGAAAAAATAATAAAGTTTTAAAGTTCTTCAGACAAACGTAATAATTGTCTATGTTTTCACACAATTTCTGTTTAATAAAAAATATGCAATGATAAGTAATTATAGACACACAATTTAATCCAATGATTAAATTTTAAGAAATTCAAAAGTGTTCAATTTTTTAAAAAAATTTCTAAGTGAAACTTTTCTAAATTTCATCAAAATGTTGGAGAATTTAGAATATTATTTCAATATTACGAATTTTCATTTATTTCTATAAATAAAAATGAACAAATTAATTGATAGAAAATT